AAAAAAAAATGAGTACAAATAAAAATCCCTGCCCACCGCAGTCTAGCGATTTTGTGAGAACACCATGTATTCCTCAGTGGCGTGGATCTGACCCCCCCAGTCTCCCACACCCAACCCCCTCCCATGTGTACTGTTTGAACAAGCAGGGCTCCCCTTTCTCCAGATCAGCTACGTGGCCCGCATGCCCAGTGTCCGTCAGCTACACGTTTATCATTTCTCGCCCAAGGTGATCACCAGCTCGTTCATGAAGAACCGATTCCCAGCAGTCTGCTCTCAAAGCCGGACTGCGCCTCAACTTCCCAGGGCCCCACCTGCGCTTCGGGTTTCCCGTCACCCCGCCGAGCCCCTCCCCAGGTCTCAGGTACAACTTCATCGCTCAACGTGCAGACTGGAAATCTCAACGGGGAGACGTATTTTTACCTTAAGAATCAGTCAAGAAAATATGAGATCCGGAAGTCTTTCACGGAAAGACCGGGCGGAGGGGGACCTGGCAGAAGGCGAAACGGTGCGGGTTCCGCGGGGCTCGGGGCGCGCGCCTCAGAGCGAGGCAGCCGGAAGCAGCGCCTGGGAACGGGGGCCTGAGTCAGCGCGCGCGGCTCCAAGGTGGCGCGAAGGCCAGGCGCTGGCCCTGGGTTGTTCTTCCCCCAACCCCTGCACCTGTAACCCCAGCAGGCAGCGAGCGGCAGCCCCGGGCCTTCGGCCTCCCCACTCACCCCGCGCCCATCGCCGGACACAGGCCGTCGGCATAAACTTTCCGCCCGTGCGCCAACAGCCGGAACTATAGAGCCGCGCGACAGAAGGGAACCCGGCGCCGGCGCTCCGCGCTGGGCGGGGCGGCCGTTGGCGAGCTTCCGGGCGGCCGTTGGCGAGCTTCCGGGCCGCCCAGGCGGGGCTCTGGCTCGACGCGGACGGACGCTACGGGGCGCGGCGTCTCCTCGCGGTGTCCAGTCCGCGGCCGCCCGTGTCGTTCCACAAACCCCGACTTCGCTGCGTCCTGGCTGCTTCTGGGCTCCCGTCTCTCCGCGTTCTCGGGCTGTTCCCAACCCTTCCTGCCCCATGGACCCGTGGGCCTCGCCTGGCCCGGGGGCTCTACGACCCCGTCACACTAATGTCCCCTCACCCCCCTTCCCGCCCCAC